TCTGGAAATAGATTGTATAGAGTTCCACTCAAAAAATGATAAAAAAAACATTTTTTGAATTTAAAATGACTTTTCTTCAATCTAAAGTGAATTTCGTTGGCTTAAACCATTCATTTAAGTCAAAGGAATACATTTCCTTAAATCGCAGACAATTTTTTACATAATTTGAAATAAGTTTTTAACAATCTTTTTCAGTAAGAATTCAACCTCTCAAAGAAAAAAACTATGTACTACTCGCAACCTGTTTTTCCCCTCAGCTGCCATAAAGAATAATTATTCCTAAAAAACAATTATTCCAACTTAGTAGTTTAACTTGAAAAAAATCACGCGCCAGATAAATTTCACACCTAGAACATAGGTTCTTCTTTACTATATTTAGTCATTTCACTGAAAAAAGTCTCTTGGGTCCAGAGTCCAGGCTTTAAAAATATTTGACAAGAAAAATACTCTTGATTCAATCGGATTTTTGCTTAAATCCAGAGGCAAGCCTCTTAATTGAAGCTGATTTCCTTTTGACTCGAGCAAAAATTTGATCGAATCAAGTGTCTTTTTTCTTGTCAATTTTTTGAGGGAGCAAGAGCATTCCAATGTCGCTAACCTTGCAAACATAAACGATCATCTAAACTATAGTTTCACCTCTACTCCCAATAAACTATGAATTCAAGACGAAAATTACCGTCGCAAAGTTCACTTTTTGCAAAGAATGTACCTTAGTTGCACAATCCCAGCAACATTGAAATGCTCTTGGTTCCTTTTTGCAAAATGCGATCCAATTGGTTGTTGCTGCAAAAAATAGTTTCCCACAACCTGCTATACAATGCTCCAGTGACTACGTAAGTTGGCCCGAGCACTAACTTTTCGGGAAGAAAGCCTTTCCCCTACCTGGTTTCTCACTTAATATCAAATATCCGCCCGAGTTTCGCATATCTTCCGTTTCTCCTCATCGCAGCTTCCGTCAAACCGCAATTGCCCGGAAACTAGGACCGCACATCTTATCTGATAAAATCGTTCGCCCTTTAGACCGATTCTGTGGGGTTAGGCTAGACTAGTCGATGAGTCAACTGTTGATCTAATTTCATTACGTGAAGGTAGAAGAAAAACGGGGTAAAAAATCACTAATGTGTGATCAATTTTCAAGGACAATTCTGTAATTTCTCCTACGATTTTAAATAGATTAAAACGCGTAATATCCAAAATCTAAGCTCAGACTCGGATTTCTCGTGAAAAATTGTTGAGATTTCATGTATCATATGTTAGAATAGCGTGAAGGAAAAAGGTTTAACGACGCGTATAGATTCTGTCACACTATTCCTTTGAACTACGCCGCCGCGCGCCGGTCGCCCGCCGAACCTAACGGGGTGGCGCTTGCCCTAAGCGTTCGGTTTCGTCCCGAGGAATTCCTCACGATAAATTCTTATTCTTCCTCCTCCGCTGACCCACTGAGCACTACCCATGTTGCCACGTTGGATTCATATGCTCGAATCAGTATGTCTACGTTACGTCTCTTTCCTTCACGCTATGCTCGGGTATGATACATGAAATTGTATCAATTTTTAACGAGGAATCCGAATCTGAACTTCGATTTTGGGTATCACGCGTTTTAAGTCAAATTTTCCAAAGTCGAAAATCTGAAATGACTGACGTGGCTTAAAATGCCATCTCGGCTCCTGTTCGATGGAATTTCCTGAAATTCGGTTAATACCTATATAATAATAAAATACCTATTATAATAATAGTTATTACAAAAACTAAAAAAAGATTAATATTTAGATACTCACTGATTATCTTAATATTTAATTTAAATTTACAAAAACAGGACATAAGTAAGATTAGATATTTCATATCTCGGGATAACTCGTCACCTCATATGAAATATCTAATCTTACTTATGTCCTGTTTTTGTAAATTTAAATTAAATATTAAGATAATCAGTGAGTATCTAAATATTAATCTTTTTTTAGTTTTTGTAATAACTATTATTATAATAGGTATTAAAAATTTTATAATTTTAACACTCTTGAAGATTTTAAAAAATCATTACCATGAGTTCGAATTATTATTGTCTTTTATAGTACATGAAATCGCATCGATTTTTTACGAGGAATCCGAATCTGAACTTCGATTTTGGGTATCACGCGTTTTAAGTAAAATTTTTCAACTTCAAAAATCCGAAATGACTGAAGTGGCTTAAAATGCCATCTCGGCTCCTGTTTGATGGATTCTCCTGAAATTCGCGGTGTCAGGGTATGATACATGAAATCGCATCGATTTTTTACGAGGAATCCGAATCTGAGCTTCGATTTTGGGGATCACGCGTTTTGAATCAAAATCTGTCAAAACTCAAAAAATTCAAAATTCGAAAATCCGAAATGGCTTAAAATGCTATCTCGGCCCCTGCTCGATGGATTTTTCTGAAATTTTTCTGGTATTTTTCGACGGCAAACTCGAATTTTAAGTCCATTTTTTAAAATTCTCAAATTCAAGATGGCGGACGTGGGCTAAAATGCTATCTCGGTTTCTGTTTGTTCGAGTCTTGTGAAACGCGATATCACACGGTATTTTTCAACGGAAAACTCGAATTTTTAGTCGATTTTTGAAAATTCTCAAATCCAAGATGGCGGACGTGGCCTAAAATGCTATGTCGGCTCCTGTTTGATGGATTTTTTTGAAACTCGGTGTCTGAGGGTATTTTTCGACCGGAAACTCGAATTTTTACTATGTTTAAAAATTCTCAAACCCAAGATGGCGGACGTGGCCTAAAATGCTATGTCGGCCCCTGTTCGATGGATTTATGGCGCACCCTTACTACATGCCTACTCTTGTATTTCTGTACAACCGCAAATTTAGGGTCAAGGGGCGCCTGACCGTCTATGAACCAGGTGAAGTTTTTGTCCTGAAAATTTACCTTCAGACGGCAATTTTCTTTATATTTTGTCTATGATTTTTATGCCCCCCCCCTTTCTCACGGACTCTCTTTTCACTTTTCTTGCCTTCTTTTTCCTTCCATTTCCCCCCTTCTCCCTTGTTTTCACTGCCAACCTTGTTTCCTTTTCCTTTTTTCCCCTTGTCCTCTCTTTCCTTTTTTTCCTTTTCCTTTTCCCCCCTTTATTTCCCTCTCTTCTTCTTTCGTGGCGCCCCCCAAAGGCTGGCGCCCGTGTGCGCCGCACGCCCTGCACACGCTCTAAGTCCGGGCCTGGAGGAAGCTTGACTCTACACACTGGAGACTTTTTTTCCAATTGTTTTTTTGGATAAGGCAATATTCTAACACGTATTAGGCATAATGAAAGTGTTTACTGAGGCCTTTTTGTTTAATGCGTGCCGATGAAATAGCAACAGAGACGTTTTCCTCTCTAAAACTCTTCGTTCAACTCCAAGCACCCATTCCCATAGAAAGGAAACGCATAATGTTTTCCGCCACTTTTATTCCAGTTGTTTATGGACCCTTTGCTCCCTCAGTACAGAGAATAAGTTTGTAATAATATCATTTCCCTTCCTCTTTCACCGGTATAAAAGGAAGAACTGAATGGTTTGAGTTCTTTTTTATTGGTTAGATATCTTCCTCTTCTCTCTCATATCAATGCATCCGTGCAACGGAGAAATGAGTTCATACGGGCCAACTTTCGCGCTCGTGTGCTGTGCTGTGCTGATGCCGCGTTGCCTCTGAAGAGCGCCTTCAAATACAGCTACCAGCAAATGTTCATGCTCTTACGCACCATCTTCCCTTCAGTCAGTGCGGCGTTGTTATACGCTTAAATTGCCGTAAGTGAGTAGTATTACACGGTTGCTGGTTTGTGCCGAGAAATACAATTTCGGATGGGAGAAACCAGCACTTACGATATCGATTTCACAGCGCTGAGGGTCCTTCGCAGCTCATGATTGCGTGAACTCAGTGGCCAAATAACCAGCAATTAGAGTCGCGACAGATTTGTTATGCGTTATTAGGCCGAGCGTGAAAGACTTCATTGGTCCAGATATTTTTTTAACATAACGCTACTGAAAATTTGCGCAGCTGTTCACAGCCTTCGAGGCGGAAGATGGAGGGGCAACTGAGAAATTGCGTGACGAGGAAGCTGGACTAGAAAAATATTTTCTATCAATTTAAAAAATTCCCTTTAATTTTAAATAATGAAAAGGCGTGCCTGCATTTTACACCAGCCATGTAAAAATTGATCATTTACAAATACGAATATTTAAAAAACTAATTTACTCATATACTAAAAATTTTGGTGTTTCATGAAAATATCATAAATAATGTATAACTCGCTGAAAAGTCTGATTCCCCACAATTTCAATGATATTCTTAATTATACTCCATTCCAACGTTGTAAAGAGAACATGTTGGCCAAAATGAGCACATGTACAGTCTTCCATATCGTTGTGCTTTTATAATTACCTGTGCAGTTACGTATGAGATCTAGGGCCAAGTAGCTATTTCATCAGAGTTCCAAAGGCGCTAAACTACCCCCTCCCCTTCCGCCATTACACGGGATCAATGAGAGCGTGGAGTAATTCTACAAAATGGTGTTGAGATGACATTTCCGAAATCGAGCGGTAGTGTGCCTTTCCACACTTCCAATGATCATGGCGCAATCTATGGATAGAATCAATACAATTTTTGGAGGTCAAAACTTGAGGTCTATTTTATTACCTCCAAAAGCATAAGCGTTTTTCAGATGCCGCTAAGGACTAAAATATTAGGTAGGTGAGGAAATACCATGCCGAATATTGAAGAGCTAGGCCCTAAAATTATCTAAAATTTAAGAACGCTTTCACCGAGGTCTTCTCACAAACTTGAATAGTCTAATAGATTCAAGAGTAGCCATAGTTTAACAAACAATCTATTCCAGTAATTTCTCAACGATTCCCGATTCAGCCAATGAGCGCGCTGCATGCGGCCAGATCGCTGCTTGATGAGCAACGGAAACCGATGGAGTGGCGGATAAAACTCGTCCACAGCCCGAACAAAAGGAAAAAGAAGAAGACGATAAAAGTCAACTTCAAGGCATTGTGGGAATCCATGCATCGGCCCATTGAATGTATTAAAATTTTTCTATTTTCTACAATACTGTAAGTTCATGACGTCATTAAGTAAACAATTGCTTCGTCTGTACGCTCGTTAGCTATTCTCAAATCGCATTTTCCCGTATCTCCGACTATGAAGCGTAAAAAAGGTGTGAATTTGTAACAGTTTCGGCCCGTGTTGATGGTGGAAAAACATTCTAATTATTTCGGAAGTGCTGAAACCCAAATTAGCGTGTTTGTGCGGGTTCGTTCGTGAAATTTTGATTCAAAGGGTTTTATGTGCGTAGATCTCTATTCTGAGCCGTGTGTGGTAATGTTTTCCTTCAACATGTCTCCCAAACCCATTTCTTTTGTTGATGCCCCCTTAATTTTTTAATGAAAATATCTAACTGCTCTATTTGTAATGGACTTCAAATTAATTGGTTCACCTTGTGGGCAACATGGGCCTTATACCTTTTACAAAGCTTTCAAATATTCCAAAAATGGCAAACCTAATATCCTTGCTATAAGTGAGTTTTTCTTCGTGAAATTATGGAATGATTCGGATTTAGTTAGCATTGGTGAATTACAGTTACTGTGGGAGGATAAAACTAGTGAGCAGACACTTGCAAGTGTTCGCCTTTACATACTGCCTGAAAACACCCCGGAGGGTAGAAATTACATCCATGGAGAGGTATGTACAACCACTATTTCTTTTGTGTTTTCTTCATATGTGTGATATAGTTCCTACCTAACCTGTTTAATTGATTTAAAATTTTTAAATTTCACCCTGCCAGAATTTTATTTAGAGAAAGTTGGTAATTTGAAGTCCGCAGTCTGATTACGCATGTTTTTGGTTTTGCCTCACCAATAATTACTATCATATTGCAGTAACTATTTTTCACCATCCAGTCAACGGTGATAAACACACACATAGCTGTGATTTTTTCTGCTACCAGCACTTACATAGTGTTATCATTGTCCAATTGCAGGTTTACACGGCCATCAGTTGTTGTTAATTGATTGTTTACAAGTTGACGACCTTGGGTACTTATTTTTATGCCGTATGACTTATTGTTTTTGTATATATTATGAATAATTCAGCAGTAATACATTCAATCTTTCCTATAAAGTGAGGTTTTGATAAGTCAATGGCTAATTTAATTTCATCAATTACTTGAGAAGGCGATCAATGTATCTCACTGGAGGGGGCATGTAAGTAGGGCTCTTTGTCTAACTTTCCACCCCCCTTACCCCTTTCTCACCCTATCATGACTCTACTTTCCTGTAAACCTTTATTCATTATGGAGTTTGTTTTTTAAGAAATTCTGCTCTAAGTTTTCTATGGACGTCTGAGTATTGAATTCTTATTTCTCGAAACGATGGATACCTTAGTAAATCTCTGAATCTGTTGATTCAAACATGTACTACTTTATATTCATTAAAAGCAAATCTATGCATTATCCCTGATAACGTCACAATCTATGAGATCCAAACGCTAAATCAATAATTATAGAACGGACACTTTCATAATCACGGTATGTTTATATACACGCAACATTCTTTATTTACAACCACATCAGAAATTTTGTTACTCTCTAACGCTAACCCTCACGACACTAACCTGCCGAAAATTCCTCTGAGCTTTGTTATTCAAAAAAAACTTCATTGTTGCACATCTTTGCAATTTAGTAGGTACTCCAAATGCAATGGCGATGTTTACGGCTGTGTTATGGGAAGCGTTCCCCAAAGAAAAAACTTTGACTTGACTTGAGGATATGTCAACAAAATAGCTCTTTAGCTGTTTCACGTTAAGTTCTGCTCATTTTCATATTTTTTTGACTGCTCAAGTAGAAAATATGGAGAGAGCGGAGGGGAGCTATTGAAATTACCACTAGTAAGACTGAAATATAAGGAAGTTTTTATTAATAGCTGCTTGCATTGGAGATGATCGTTGCATCAATTGTTGGGTTCAACTACTGCCTTATGATTGCAAGTAATACTTTAAAAAATCAGTACAACATTGTGATTGGGTGCAAAGAATCTGCAGAATCACTCCCTGAAGCCTCAAGCTAGTAATTTTACTATTTTTGCTAGGATGACGTAAGTTCATAGTGGCCTATTGATACGACTAAAAATATTTTTCGTGGCCACTGACTGCTAGATCTAACTCTCCTTTGTGTAGGTTTAGAACTGCCGTGATGATGATAAGCGAGCTTGGAGTTTCTCTAAAGATCATTTCTCTCAAGCATTCTTTCATGAATTAATGTGAGTTTTTTTGATGAATAGGTAATACTGTTTTTAGACCTGAAGATAGGCATACAAATTGTAATGGCAATTACTTAAGTTTTGAATCGTTTTCACATTGACATCGGTAAAAAATCCCGGGTAACATTTCCCATTTCAAAAACTTTAAATGTTTGAGTTTTATAATCAAGTAATTTAAGTATTTTACCTTTGGTCAAGGCTGTTGATATCTGTGTCAGTTGTTCTTGGAGCAGAGCCATTTCACATAAACTCTGTGCAAAATTTGCTGAACATTTTTACTTACCTGTATTTTCCCCTGTATTTTGCAATATTCTGACCTACTGATACCAAATAAGTGTATCAAATACAAGTTCTGATAGTTTTTGTTTGAAGTTGGTTTCAAAGCATAATGCTCCTCAATTACTAAGAGAGCTCTAAGTCAAGTGGTTTTTTTCTTCTTTTTTTTGCCTTTCTCTATCATTATTTACTGTAAGCAAAGAAAAAACTTTGTAAAATGCAAAAGAAAAGAAGGAGAAGTAGGTTACAGTAACATTAAGTAATCAGTCTTTTGCCATAGAGCACAACCTGTCCTGTTGGAAAAATATATTTTTACGTGATCGTAAGAATTTTGCAAGGTGAACTGCTAAGTGAACCAATGATAATATTTAGTCCCATTGTTGGTAGTATTTCAAATAAAAAATTAAAAATGGCCGAGGAAGTCAGTTGTGATTTTTTTATTATTATTATTATTATTGGTACTTATGTTAACAACAATCTACAAGGAATATGTATTCAGTTGACAATGTTATCCCCTTCACCTATCAATGCATTTTTAAAGACACCTACTAAATTTTCGTTGAATCAGGCGTTCCGCATATCAACGTTATGAAAATGAAACAATTGGCAGGTTTTCCAATGCAGCCAACTTTCTCTTGAAAATGCAAATGCAGGCTTCCTTGAATGCTCTAATTGCGGAGACATTAGTCAGGTTCATCACTACTTGTAAAGCATTCATTGTCTCTGACCTTGTTTGTGATTTGAAGATAATGACCCATTCGTGATTATCAATTCCTGCTCCCTGCTCGGCACTCGTGGATTTTCTCTCGGTACTAGGTTCGCGAGGGTTAGAGAAAACTAGGAAAAGTCAAGGAAAAAGTACAGAATATTGCCCGTAGTTAAGGACTCTTTAGATTTTCATCACTGGAACTGGTATTGAACCATGGTTTCGTTTGTTTTTGCGGATGGCGAAATTTTTCCCCTCTTACCCGGGCAGGAAATCCAGGAAAAGTCAGGGGAAATCGGGAAAATTTCTTTCACGTAAGTGCCGAATTTTTTCTTGTTAGGTATGTATTAAAGCTTCAACTTATCATCCAGCTCAATTTGTTTCTCAGGGTTGCCACAGTCAGGGAAAACCGAGATATTTCAAGGAATTTTAAAAAGTCAGGGAAAACCTGGAAATTTTAGGGAAAAATTGTTGGGTCATACATTTATTTGCTGTCTGGAACGGATTCGACGTTTCGATAAACACATTTTGCCTGAAAACTATTTCTAATAATGTCTTGTCAACCATCTGGTATACCTTCAATTGTCAGGGAATTTCACCAAAATATGTCAGGAAAATCAGAGATATGTCAGGGAATCTCATCTTCTAAATCCTGTGGCAACCCGAGTTTGTGTACTTCTTAAAATGATTAAGGGTAATTTAATTATTTTTAATGATAAGGGTTTTTTAATAAGTAATGGATGAGTAAGGGTATTCTCCCTCAAGTGGTCAGGAATAACTCGGAAAAGTCAAGGAAATTCAGTCTTGACCTTCTGTGGCCTCTCGCGCCTTCAATATTATGCCTAAAGCCTGGGAAATCCGGGAGTTGTCAGGATTAGCAAGGGATAAAAATGTCCCGGAAAATCGGAGAATTTGCGTCAAAGAACATACGCGCCTTTTCTTTCCGCTTGGAGATCATATCTCACTCTATTTTATTTTATTTATTTCTCTACAATATAAAATAACAAGAGTAGCCCATGCTTCAGGCGCGAAGCTGTCAGGGGGCTAAGCCGCGGGTTATTTTATAATTTGGTGGTCCCCTTGATTGTGCCTTTAAATTATGAGACCCATGTTGATGAAAACATTTATGTTTTCTCCCCTAACGCTGGCATACTTAAAGTGCAGTTTTTCCAGAAGAATATGAAGGAAAAAGATAGGAAACCTCGAGGTTTTCCCTGGACCTTTCATCTAGGAAATCGAGAAATAGCAGGAAAAGAATCAAGAATTCTAGACGAAATTATGTTCTTTTGAATTTCCGAGAAATCTATCGAATAGTCAGAATGATGCCAGGGAAATATGGCAAGCAATGATTTTGCGGCTAAACCAAAAAAAGGTAGGAAATTTAAGTACACCTAGGGAAAGAATCAAGAATTTTAGACGAAATTATGTTCTCTTGAATTTCCGAGAAATCTATCAAATAGTCAGGATGACGTCAGGGAAATTTGGCGACCGTAGGCAATGATTTTGGGGTTAAAGCAAAAAAAGGCAGGAAATTTAAGTACACCTAGGGAGGGTTGATAGGGTAACTGGTTGTTGTACCCTCGCCAGTTGTTAGGGTAACGTTGAAGAATTTTAGCATTCGACGTGTTGGTTTATCCGATAAAATTTCCCGGAATTTCCTCACATGAGCCTCGGGAAAAGTCAGAGAAAATCCCCAGTCGAAAAACCGTGTCATTGCAGATTCATGGTTTCAGCATACGATTAGTGCAAGCTTTTTTAATCCACGCAGGCTTCGACCAAAGAGAGCATGCGTGTGGGTGTGAGTTTGTTGAACGTACCCTCTCAACCTCCCCTTCCTGCCTTAGCCCGCATTTTTATAAATAGTAACGAAGGAACCCTGTGCTCGCAGTGAAGGAACCGTAAATTTCTAATTATCCTGATAAAACTAGTAACAGCCTGTATCTTGGCCGTGGGTCCGCTGCATGCCAAGTCGGAACAAAAAGGAGAATTTTACGCCTGGAATAGGTCACTTATTTTTACTCCTCAGATCTGGCACCGTTATTTCCAGTTCATCAGTTTTTCCGCGCAATGCTGTAAAATCGTGTATTCATCGGAAAGTCCACTCTGTATTTAATTTGAAGGGAGAGGTTTTCCCCCACCTCGAAGGTAAACTTTTGGCGTCTCAACACCAAGTGTAGAGTCTGTGCTTTTTTGTTTCAAAATAGATGTGGTATTGCGTCATAATGGTCATTGTGCGGGTCCGCATAGTGGCGGTATAGTGTCCAGATCAATTTCGCCTAAATTTACCTCAAGAGCGCCCTTTCGGATCAGCCGAGGTCAGATGGTGCCCCCCCCCCCTCTCAATCCCTGTGCAACTTTTTAGGGGAACATACGCTTCAAAAAGTAATTTCACACTTGAAAACGAAAGCTCCTCTTCAAATCGAGTCCGAAAATAGTAAAGTTTC